TTGTGTAACTTTTTCTTCTTTCTTTTGTGTGTCTTTATCTTCATAGTTGACCTTACCCATTTATGTGTGTACTTTTCTGTTTTAAAAATCAGGTCAAAATATAATAATCTCTTTTTAGATTATTTTTAATAAACAAAAAAAGAAAAACAAGCATGGAAAAATTTGGCATTGCTCTTATTCTCTTTACTGTATTTTGGGGTATGATCGGTATTGTTTTACCATTTCTTATTCCGAAAGGACCAAATCGACGGTAAGATTTTTTGATATGTTTATTATATTCCATTTTAATTTTAATTTATTTATTTTTATATAATTAGTCTTATTCAAACAATGTTAATATTAACATCAGCGTGTTGTTGGCTTTTGTATGCTTAGAAAAATTTTTTCACTGCAAACTTCTCATTTATACATATATTTTTTTTTCTCTTATTTTAGTTGGTTATGTTTTTATCTTCATCAATGGAAACCATTATTTGGACCTCTACTTACAACTATCGATGCTCGTATATTACGCCAACTTTGGGGCACAGATTTTTAAATTGAATCTCTCATTTCTTATATATCATTCGACTAAATAATATTTCTCTGTATTGATGTTTCTTATAAAAATAAATAAATGTCTTTAGTCAGACTTTTCTTACCATATAATCATATACATATATATATATTATATAGTCAGGACATCGTCAACATTCTTTTGTTTTTACTTTCAGTTCTACTCTCCATGCCTTTTTTTTTGTTGTTGTTTCTCTGTCTGTTCTCGTTTAGAGTAGGTGGTTTCTTTTTTGTTGTATGTATGCAATCGAAGGTGTAGTTCTTTTTATTTTTATTTTTTCTTCGTCTGCTCACTTTATTTTATTACTATCGAGATGTGCATAAGAGAAAAACAAATAAAAGAATGAATTAATCTACACTTTTACTTACTTTTTTTTCTTTTTAAAACTTTAGATTTTTACCTAGTCTTCTATCGAATCTTGAATAGAATACAATCAAGATGAATATGCATTTAAGTGGTTCAAAACTTTTAACAATTGTTCTATCACGAGAACATGGCTATGCTGCTGGTGTGGCATTATCATCATGGCTTGTTTTACAATATATGGGTGTTAATGTGATGAAAGCTCGTAAACGGTAAGATTTTATATAAATTTTATTGATTTACGAAAGTTTTTTATTAATATAACAACAAATGAAAGAATAATTTCTTCTGTGATCTATAAAATTATTTTTCCTAGAAATTCACAAAAATGTGTTTTTATAATTGATTATCTTTATTAGAGCGATCAATCAATAACGTTGAGTTTTTATTGAGTTTAAGACAATTGCTGACCAAGATACTTGCTCACGTGCGTTTGAATGTACATAAAGAGAAGACCCAAATTACACCTCCTCTGTCTTCCCATAACCACGTCCTTCACATCCACAGCCATGAGCATGTGTCCTAGCCAGCAACTATTCGACTTCGCTTTTATTGATATGTTCTTTTAATAATTGATATTACTTTAAAATAATCTTTACAATCAGTGAAGAACTTTTATTATTTGAACTAGTGGCGGATCCAGGATTTTTTAGTATGCTGGATTTCATCTTTAGAGCATTGGATCCAGATAAAACTTATAGAGGTATGATATTGGATTCAAATGATGAGTTTTTATTGAAAGATTTTTGCAATAGGAGTTTGCGAAAAAAATTAGCATTTTTCTGAGCCCCCTCAAGAGTTTTCTTTTGCTATTTGTAGTATTCTATCTGTTAGAATTTAATAGTAAGCTACGTCAAAATTCATCGACAGGTTTCAAATTTCATCTAAAAATATCTATCCGTTCAGGAGTTATAACTTTTTGAATGTTCGCTAAAATTTTAGCAGTATGTAACAAAAATTCAAAACGTTATAACTTCTGAACCGATGGATATTTCTAGATGAAATTTGAAATCTGTCGATGAATTTTTATGTAGCTTACTATTAAATTCTAACAGATAGAATACTACAAATAGCAAAAGAAAATTCTTGAGGGGGCTCAGGAAAATGCTAATTTAGTTCGCAAACTCCTATTGCAAAAATCTTTCAATAAAAACTCATCATTTGAGTCCAATATCATACCTCTATAGGTTTCATATGGATCCCATGCTCTAAAGATGAAATCCAGCATACTAAAAAATTCTAGATCCGCCTCTAATTTGAACGTATTAAAAACTTCGTTTTTCAATTTATATTTTATAACAATTTAATTTTAATTTTATTTACTAAAATAAAATTGTATTTAGAAGTTTCTTTTTTTTTTCAATTGAAATTTTTTTCTAAAATTTTTTTCCTTTAGATATAATGTTGAGTATCCAGCACTTTATGCACCTGATTCAAATCCTCAAGGCAAAATATTTAATTGTAAGCTAAATATTTTATTTCATCTTTATATTAAATATTAATTTTTAGGTGTTCAACGTGGACATCAAAATACATTAGAGAATTATCCACAATTTCTTCTTATGTTGGGTTTAGGTTCAATCCAATATCCACTTATTTCATCGATTGGTGGTTTTATTTGGTTACTTGGACGTATAGTCTATTTTCATGTATGAATATTCAGATTTTCTATAGTTTTTATTCTTTTCAATCTTTTGTTTACTTTTATTTTAAAGGGTTATTCATCTGGTCAACCAGAAAAACGTCAATATGGTGCCTTTGGCTACATTGGATTTTTTACAATGATGGGTTGTGCTATCAAAACTGTTTATAATCTTATTCGTGCTTAGAAATTCAAACATAAATTTAGCTTCAAAAAAAAAACAGCCTTGGCGATAAATGCGATTCTATTTTGTTTTCTATTTTAATCCAACGAACAACGTTTCAAAAAAAGTTCTGTCGTCCTTTTTCTTTGTCTGTAGTTTCTTGGTACACCTTGACATATTCTTTTCAAAAAACACACTTTAGAATAAATTGTCTTGTCTAGAATTTTTTTTTCTTTTGATATAAATTTGATAAATATTGAAATAAGATCAAGTATTAAAGAAATAATTCTATGGAAATTATTTATCGATAACAAAGAGAAAATTAAGCAAGAGACTAATAGATATTCATGATACATCATCAAGATCATTGTGATGCTAGATGTTTTCTTCTAAGGAAAATAAATAAATGTCAAATATTTGTCTTGTGACATCAATAAGAAGAAAAAGTTTTGATTATCAACAATGTAATATGTAAATAGTGAACAGTTGGCTATGAAACAAATGTTGACATATTTAGTCGAGTAATGAAAATTCAGCCAATATCGATATTACCATTCTTCACTGCTCTTTAATCAAACTTTCGAAACAAAAAATAATGATGAATCTTGATTCTTTGTTACTCATTCAGATCCGCAATTTATATTCGATCTATGGCAGACGCTCAATTCTTTCTTTCAGAATCAAATCTTCTTGTCACTTTACCTAAAAAGAACTTCAATATGAGGTATAATTGACTATTACAAATAAAGCTTTTCAACAACATTCACTTGATTTATTAACAACTATTGATTGTGTCACACTTTGGTCTACGTACTAAAGTTTATCATTACAATTAGTTTACTATGGAATACTTGTACGTCTTACTTTATCAAACAATTTCATATATACGAGATCATCTTATAATAAGATACGGAACTAAGTCTACTTGATCTTCTCTCATATAATGTATTTTGCACAACACCTAATCGATTCTTTTCTTAGTTATCCAATCTCAACAAGTACTTTTGAAAAAATCATTGAACAAACTCAAATTCTACTTCAGATCGATTGACTTTCACTTTAAACACTTAGTATATCAAAGATATATTTACTTTTTGTTTATTTTCATACAATTCTTGTTCGTTTCTGAGAATGTTTTCACAATGATACACGTATTATAGTAGTTCTATGACTAATGTACAAACATCATACTAAACATAATCATCATTGAACAAATGAAAAGCTTTCTTCATAAAAACAAAAAAGGTTCATCATATTATCTTCTAAGTTTATACATTTTCATTTGCTTGTTACTTT